AAAAAAATTGAAAATAGCTATTATTACCAGTGATTTTCAAAACAACTTTTTTCAGGAAGCAAGCCACACATGATGCTACAGACTAACTGCAAAATTATCTTTGTATTCTTGCTCTCTGACTACTCAGAAAAACAAGTCTATGGGTCTGCAGCTTGAAAGAAACTACAGCAACCAAATTAAGCCCCTCTGAAACATTTATAGCCAGACCCATTTCCATGCCTCAACAGTTTAAATATTCTAGGTATTGCTAAACAACATCCAACCTCCCTACACTACTGTCCTTCAAGAAAGATCTAAAAATGAAACTTCATTTTTGCTTCACTGAATCAAAGATGCTCAACAAAAATACTAAACTTGCACTCAATCGCACTGAAGTTGCAGGAAATCAACAGAAAAATAATCCATATTAAAGTTTCACTATTGACAAGCAAGTACCAGTCAAACGCCACTGCGCAAAGCTTTAAAATGCTAAACAAGCCTGATCTGCATGTAGTAGACCAAAAGAAGCAGCTAGACAAGTTTTCGGCTTTCAAGCTAGAACTGCCATTGTTTGTTTCTTACCTTACATCAATCAACAACAGATGCGGCAGTCAGGGTTAGAAGTATTTGGTTATTCTCTTGCAACTACAGCAATAGTAAAGCGCTGGTATGCCAGTGAACTTACCATTAAAGTCAAAGAAAACTGCTATAAAATGTTCTTAACCTGGAATCAAGCAAAACTTGACAGACATCAAGTTTACAGCAACTGCCCCATAACAGAACTGAATGGAAACCTGCAATATAAACATCAGGTTAAGTGTGAGGTCAAAGCAGCTTGGATCCATGTCCCATTTGTGCAGGTAACAGGTTCTTATGAACTTGATTTTTAAGTGCAAGGTAGATGGGATTTTGCAGGGTGTTTTTTTTTTTTTTTTAATCAAAATATTTATACTAATAAAAAGTTTTCTTGTGAATGCAGTTATACAATTACACCTTATTCCTGTGCCGAGCAGGGATAATCTATATCAGAATAGATATGGCACACAGTCAAGTAGTATAATTTTGATATTCAGACAAGCCTTAAGTCACATTAACAGTACTAACAAAAACTAGGGAAGAGCTACTAGGACAGAAAGAAGAGTTACGAAGAGTTACAAGTTACACAGCCACTCTCAACAAATCTAGTCAGAGCTCCATGAACTTGTCCTCAACGCAAGCAGAATTATCGGGCAGCTTATTTAGCAAAACTGCCAACTTAAGTTGAAGTACCTTCCTTTTTCAGTCCACAGTTTTTCAGAACAGTACCTTTAGAGTGGGTTACAAGGGCTAAGGGGATGGGAAAACCCATAACTTGACTTATTAAATACTTTTGAATAGAAAATTCCTAATACAGCTTATCTGGAGAGCTACACCTAAATTAATGTCAATTCTTAAAAGCTACTGGACTTACCTGTATTCTAGGACTTGTCTGATAAGTCAGTTGAAGGTGCCAAGCTAGATCAATATTGACAAAGGTGCAAATATTGCTCAAGAACTACAACAAAATCAGCCCTCATGGTCATTCACACTAACCCCCAGAAGACTGTCTCAGGGCTGCTACCTACACATCCCACATGCCAGGGAAAGTGGCTACCTGCACTTCGTAGCCACTCAGGAACCTGGTCCATTCCAAAATATACTTAAGATCAACCTGATACCACCCAAAAGTCACTGCCCAAGTTCTAAAAACAGTGCATAGCACTGTGCAAGAGGATGCAAGGTCTCTCTCCTAAATATCAGAGGGACACAAAGTGATATTGTTTGCAAGCTTATTTACGGAACGTCTAAAACTCTTCCAGGATAAACCTTTTCTAGTTTGATTAGTAATAGCAGTTCCTGAGCTCTTCAATAGATTTCTTCATAAATAAAAAGTTCACTGGCTATTTACTCTCATGAATAATTAAGTTATTAAAACAACTGATGTCACTGTCAACTGAAAGTGTCGGCTATTTCCTTAATTCTTCAGATGCAGGAACACAGTAGGTGCTAGTGCTCTTGCTAACCTTCCTTTAAACACAAAAAGAAAGAAAAAAAAAAAATCAACTGACATGGGAATACAGGATTGGAAGGGACCTCCTGGGCTATCAAGTTCAGTCCCTGCATCTGCAGGCAATCCTTAACTCAAAGAATCCCCATAATATCATATCCAACCCTCGCACTCAAGGCACAATAACTGAATCACCAAGAATACCCTATAACATGTTAGAGGTAAAAGCAGGGTAGATGCGAGTACTGCTAACACAACAAGGAAATAGTTAATGCATGTCCTAAAGGCCCTACGACAATGTTTCTCAACCTTTTAAACTCAAGGCACCCCTTGTTAGACTTGAGGCATCCTGAAGAAAACGTTGGCTTTTAGTTTTTATGAGGTTTTTTTTGATTACAGAAAAATTCACGTTGCAAAGAACTCAGAAAGACAACAGGTCACTACAGATCCCTATTTCCCCAAGTTTCTCTTACGAATTATGTTTGCACACCTAACAGTGTTAACACTGTGTGGCACACTTGAAAGGATCAAGGCACCCCAGTTGAGAATCTCTGCCCTTGGATTAGGACTGTGCTGCATACTACAAAAGGCAAAAAAGACATTTTTCGATGCCAGTCTGATCTCGTTTGGAGAAACTGGTTATGCTGAAAGCCCCACCTACACAAGCAAAATACCCAGGATCAAATGTCTGATTATTGTCCTACAGCTTTGTTAATTATATTAATTATACTTCAGTGACATAACACAGGTAGCCTTGATGTAGTTTTAATTACATGCTTTGATCATCGTATCTAAGTCTTCCCCCTCTAGATTCAGACATCTGATTTCAAGTTGCATCTGAAAGGGAGAAAAAAAAAAAAGATTCTCAAGTCTCACCATAAGCTAAACAATATCTGATAACCAACAGAAAAGCAAAGATGAGGTCCCCACTCAGCCCCAATAGGAACTGCCTTTCACATATCTGTACATACACACATCAACAAAATATGATGCAACCCTAGTTTCAGTCACAACAGAACTAGATTTAGCTTTAATGAGAATAAGCTCAAAGTTAAACAGCATTTGAAGAAAGAAGTTAACATGTCCTGTGCATCCCTGACGTATTACCAAACCTTTTCCTACAATTATTGCCTTATACGACAATAAGAGGTTTGAGCATTTTAATACTTTAAATCCCCATCTGAATCCCTTTCTGCACACTCTAAATTACATTCAACATTATTTGCTCAAAGTAACAAATCAGACAGTGCCCAGAAGCAGCAAGAAGTAACTTTTCAATTAGAATGCCACCTGGACAGCTTGCTTTATACACATGAAGGACCAAACCCCACCAGTTCCATTCTTCTTTTCAAAAAGTGTTAGATGGATACCTATCAAATCATGCTAAGCCAACCTTTGGATAATCCTCGTTTCCTTTGGCTAAAACACTAGTTTGCTTTAGGAAGCTCTGTTAGAAAGAAACCTACATGCTTTACAGTAGTGGATGGCTTCTGTGCAAGTGCTGAATAACAGGCAGCGAAGTCAGACTACCAGCAGTATAAAAACAAGGGAGGCAGAAGTCTACGTCATGTAGGTGCAGGAATGGAGCTGTTAGCCGATGGTGGTCAGGCTAACAACACACAAGGTGGACTTGACCAGTCTCCCGCAATGCACCACATAGCACGAGACTGCTCCAAAGCAGTTGCTGCAATAACGGTGTTCCTAACAGTAAGAGGACACAGATTTAGATGAGGCGGCAGCATGCAAATCTCTTTGGTCTCAAGGCACTGTTCTGGGGAGGGGCGGGAGTTGAAATTTTGTGCGTCAGACTAAATCATTTCCAAATTCTATCAACTAAGTAGAGCTCAACTGATTCAGTCTGAGCAGCCCTACCTCTGGCAAGTGTCCTCCCTTCCAGACTCATCAGCCTGGAACTTCAGATACTCCCAAATCCATGGCAGGCCTCCTACGTGCACGCCCCGAACCTGGAGGATTTGGGGTTCAGTCTCGCTTGCCCCAAGCCAAAAGGCCACAGGAGCAAGCTAAAGGGAGAGGCCGAGAGCAACCCCAATCACCATCAGTTGTGCAACCGAGATCTTCACATTTGGAGGCGTCTGTAGACCCTAGCTTCTCCTGATGAGTCACACACACCATCATTTGACAAAGACCTGGACAAGCTTGAGAGAGTCCAAAGAAGAGCCACTCGTATGATCAGAGTCCTACACAGCAAGTCACACAAGGAAAGGCCGAGGGACCTGTTACTCTTCAGCCTGAAGAAAAGAGGGCTGAGAGGGGACCTGGTAGCAGCTTACCGCTGCAGTAGGGGAGGACATCAAGGGCTCAGTGAGCAACTGTTCACCAGGGCACCCGAGGGGAAAACCAGGAGTAATGGCCACACACTCCTGGAAGATCGATTCAGGCTCACCATTCTGAAAAACTCCTTCGCAGTAAAGGTGTCCAGACTATGAAATAAGCTCCCTCCAGAGGTGGTGCAATCGCTGACCCTGGACATCTTCAAGAGGAGACTGGACGGTCACCTTGCTGGGGTCACTTCACCCCCCATTATCTTTCCTGCTCGGCGCAGGGAGCTGGCCCCGATGATCTCCCAAGGCCCTTTCCAACCTATGACTCTCCCCTTCACACATCTTAAATACAAAACAATCGTACAGAGAAGCTCAGAACGACTGCACTCGCATAGAAAAACACCAACCCACTGAATAAATGTGCAAATAACCCTGACTCAACTCTTCGTATTTACTTTCTGATAGCCCGCTGCAAGTCGCCAGCGCGCGGGCCAGAACCGGGTCGTGCCAGCAGATACGTTTCTTAAATTTGGAGGCCGGGCGGCATTAAGGAAGCGCTGCCTGCCAGCCCACAAGCCAGCCGAGAGCGATGTGGGTGCTGTCGCCTCTCAGATTAGCGAGCGTTTTGAACCCTTTGGCTACAACGGAACGCAGCAGGGGTGACACCTGGCGCGGGCGGGACGGGTGCGGCGCCCCCCCGGCCCCCGGCTCACCTGGAGGCGATGGCGGCGGAGCAGCGGACGCGCTCGCCGAGGTCGCACAGCGCCTGGTAGCGGGCGTCGCGGCCCTTTTCGCGCTCCAGGTGCCAGGCGTAGAGCGAGAGCAGGATGCCGGCCGCGCACACCGCCGAGCGGGCCACCCGCTCCCAGCGCGGCACCGACACTCGCAGCAGGACGGGCGCCGCCATCTTGCCCCCTCCCTCCACCGCGCCCCCCG